CACAGACAACCTCTCGTCAATATGCGTTTTTTGCATTGCATTACTGCAAAAAACGCATAAAAAGCTGAAGAGGGATAGAATATACCTTAGTTGTTCCTCACGCAACTGCTGAATAATCAGATCAGTTGAACTATCGGCTTTGATTCCACTGTCCAGTAAAGATGCTGATAGCAGCGGATTTGCGCTCAGACCATCCGGCCCAATGCGTAACATTTCCGGTGAGCTTAAATTTTACCAATTTTTTTCGTAATAATAATTTTACTAATTTTGTAACTCTCATTCCCCGCCTTCCCTTTCGGTGCTTCTTATACCAATCGTTGTTAATATATCTTTCTATTAAACTGACAGCTCTGAGATCACTGCAAAGCCAATGGACCAATGGGACATGTGTATATGTATAAAGCCCCGAAGTCAAAATCTCCTCTGTATTCGCTTTTTATGAGAGAACAGATAAAAGTAGCCTGCATCGTGAATACAGCCCAGTTTCGTAAACAGTATGAGCAAAAAAAGAATCGACTACCGCCTTCACATCCAAAAGCGACATGCTAAACACTACACCACTGACGTTTATGTCCCAAGAACAACTTGTAAGCACTTTCACTGTACGTTTGCTGGTTTGCGATGGTTTTTTTCTTTGCCGGCTTTTGCAGCTTTCTGCGACAGCGTGTGATTCATCCATTGTATACACCACACACGATTTGATGGGCAGAAACACTTCTTGCCATTACAATAATCTCACAAATTTTCTAATTTTCATTTCTTACCCTTTTTTTTTTCTTTCTTCTCTTTATTTCATTCCTTCCTATTATAACTTTCTATTGAAATCAACGACCGATCCGCGACAGAAAAAGGGAAATTATTAATACGGTGTCTCTGTTCACTGTTCGAAGATAAATCAAAAAACTTTAAAATTCCTTCCAAACATTTACTGCAACGGCCGAAACGACCAATCACTTATGTGCTAAGCAGAATGCCTGTTTAAGCACTATCAGAATAAGAAACTAGTCCTGCTAAGCTTTGTATATCTCTGCTCATAGCCATGATATCTGCACAAGTAAAAGTCAAAGAAATCTGTAGCTCCTTGTGAGAAGTATGAATATCATGGCCCTAACCAAATTTATGAATTATAAAATATGATGCGAGTTAATAAATGTGGTAAAAAGCATTGTGAATTTTTCTTGACCATAGATGACACAAAAAAAAATCCTAAAGGAAAAGGCCAAAGTACCGTCGCAGTGTGTACATCGTTTCATGGCCATCGTAATCACCTGATGCTTGAGTACTCAACTGCGCAACTGATTTTGCAGCACGCTGCCGATATTTCATCACCTGGAATTGCATAATTTCTAGAAATCATCTATGAGTAAAATGAGATAAAAATTATCACTGGCGACACACACCGGGCACGCCCGTGCGATTGCGCGTTTTTGCAGTATTTCGTGCTGTAGTAAGATCGCTTGGAGTCCCAGTAGCTAGAATTTGTGACATACTGGTCTTCGAAATTCACAGAGCTAATTGTGCAACTACGTGGTACTTGGAAAGAAGGAATTTTGTTAAAATTTCAGCTTTTTAGCCCTTCTGGTTTCCGAGGTAGCAGTTTTCCCGCCAAAAAATTTCGTACGACCATAAGTAAGGACCATGCATACCTCGGGGTCAAATTTGAAATCTTTATGTTGTAGGCGGGCTGGGGACATTCGTTTAAAATTTCAACCTCCCAGGTTTCCTCGTCCCCAAGTCAGCGATTTTCCCGCCAAAAATCTAACGGGGCCGTGCGTGAGAACCATGCATACGTGAAGGCTGAATTTTAAATTTTTGAGTTCTATGCGGGCGAGGAACATCCCCTTAAAATTTCAGCTTTCTAGTTTTTATGGTTCCCGAGTTAGCAATCTTCTCGCTAAAACTTCTACGCGCTCGCACGTGGGCCCAGACGTGTATGAAGGTTGGTACTGCGGTCCTGAGGTGGCACTTGGCTGGGAAACTCATTGGCAAAATTTCAGTGCCGAGGTTTGCTTAGTTATTGAGATGAAATAACCGGACAGAAGCGCACACACACGCACACACACATACACACACGCACACCGGTGTCGTCACAGCGTGCGTTTTTGCATTTGCATAAAAGCAAAACTAAGTCCCCTAGAATTATTTGGAGATTCCGACAATATCCAGACAGAAATCCGCGTACTATAAGTGTTACTTTACCACGCTGCGTGTCTACCTCCAGTTTCAACGGTCAACATATCCGAATATGAGACATTAAGAGTCTTGTGCATTGGCCTTACATTCAGAAATAGTAGAATAGAAGGACTGGTAAGTGTATTAATCCCGTATTTGCATTGTAAATTAATGTATTAATTCTGTATTTTGCTCTTTTATGCAATGTAATAGCTTATTTCTCGCGGCGTGCTATAAAACCCTTATGCACAGGTAACAACCAACCTAAATTAGACAAACAAAATGCAAGATGAAAGAATCAGTGTATATGAAAAACAGCTAAGGTAATGCAGGCAATAAAAAGAGACTACTTTCGTATAAAATAACTGCGTAGAACATTAATCAAGTGCAAATAAAGCAAAAAAAAAATGTTATTGCTCCCCTCTTTCACCCAAATGCGTTATATATTTCCTGCATGATGAACACATGTAAATGCCCTGAATGATGAATGTATGTATCGTTGTATTTTTTTAGAGATTAAATGAGAGGTAAATAGGTTTGCAAAATATCG